TGCTCTGCCAGCGGCAGGGCCCAGACACTGACAGGAGGTCTAGGGAATAGGCCATCCAGCATTACTTGCCTCCTATGGCCATAGTCTAATGTGGATGGATTCGATACTTGCTGGTCTGAGCTCAAGCTGAGATGGAGGACAAGCTCAGCTGGAGGGCCAAAATGAGGAGCCTGTCATGCCCCAGGCTTGCTACCTGGTGCTAGAATCTTCCCTCAGTCAGAAACTGCAAAAGCTTTGCTGAAGATACATTTGCCCAAATGGAAAAGGGGCAGGCTCCTAAGGCCTAAGAGACCTGCAGTAGGTACGAGCATCCCTAGATGGTCTCCTGAGGAGGACAAGGTGCAGCATGAAGGGCTGAAAGCAAAGTTCACAATTCCAGCAGGCTTCCTGGGAGAAGCACACATAATCGCATCCATCCCCCTTAATCCTCATATGCAGAGAGCCATGGAGTTCTAAGTGGCTCACTCCCCATTCTCTGAGGCTAGAATGCCCAGAAATGCCCCGGACCAGGAAAACAGTGGAGGTGTGCACAGGTGGTGAGGCTCACAGGCTCCTCCCTCTCCTCCACCAAACCCTGCCTGGCCAGGTAGCCCCTTGGCCCCTCTGCTCCAAGCCTTCTCCCTGCTGTCCTTTTAGGAGAAAACAATGGCTCATTGCCTTCGGGCAAGCCTAGCATAGCACTCAGTGCCTCCATACTCCTAGAGCTCCCTGGATTTCATTTGGCTGCTTTGACAAGTGACAAAGGTTCCCCACACAGCCAGTTTCTTTCAGCAACTTGGACAGACCAGGCACACGAGGTCCCCTGTCAAGCCCAGCTCTATGATCTGCACATTTTAATGAGCTCCAGCCCAACCCTATGGATGGCACTGGCCTGTGGCCACAAGAAGGTGTCAGCCCTTGGTCAGTGCCTGCCTCAGTCCAATGCCAGCCCCCTTCCTTACCAATCAGACGACTTCAAAGGGGATGTCTCTGGACACAGTCAGCATTCGTTGGTCTGTCTGCAAAGCCTCTGATCAGGAATGAGCCCTTGGGGACTCATCAGCACCTGAAACCAGCAGAGACCTCCTGATGCTCCTGTTCCCAGTCAAGTAGGGTCTCTGAACCCCCACACAGTTGGGAGCTTCCCAGTCAGAGAGTTTCCCCTCCTTGCCTGAAGCCAGCAGGGGAGGCTGGCAGTGGCCCAAAGGAGCTCATGCCCACAGCTGAGTCAAGCTCAAGGCCCTGGCCCAGAGTGGCACCTGCCCACTGGAGAGGCTGTCCTGCCTGTTGGCTGGACGCTTGACCCTCTCACTGTGGGCTCTGCACACTCCAGGCTGTCAGCAGGTGAGAGGTAGATGCTGGGCGGCCCAACTGTGGAGCTGCTTGTCTGCCCAGACCCAGGCACAAGCCCCTCCCAATCTCCCTGAGGAGCTCTCCCTTACGTGGAAGATACATCACTCAGGACTTTCCGTCTGGGGACCCAAAGCTACCAACCAGCTCACCACCCTCACGCACCTGCCTCCAGGCCTTGGTTACAGTCCCAGCCAGCCTACCTGGCCAGAGGGCAAGTTAGAGAAAACTCTGGGAGAAGGAAAAGGTACCTGGGGTGGGGCAGGGTTGAAGGAATATCCTTTCCTTCCCTTCCAAGACTCCCTGAACTTGGCCTCCAAGAGGAACCAAGGTTGAGGAAGGGGGAGTGAGCAAGAGTCCTTGGATGGTGAGTCATTGGCTCCTTTTGCAGAAGCCAGGATTTCAGGCTGCTCTCAGGTACAACAGAGACCCCTCAGTGCACCCTCACCTCCCCCATTCACATGCTCACCTTCTTCTGCCCACCTTCCCCCAGCTGCTGAGAAACCAACTTGAGACAGAAAAACTGAAATATTGAGTTTCTGCTCCCACCGGGACAGGTGGGAGGCTGAGGTCAGCCCAGCAGGGTAGCACAACTGAAAGCTTACAGCTTTCCCCAGCTGCACACATGGCTTGGGTGACTGGCCCCTCTCTTAGTGGGCTACATGGGGCAGCTTACATGAGACTCTGTGCACAAAGCCCATGGCACATACAGGTGCACGTATCTGCAGATGACAGCAGGAGCTTGCAAGAATGTACACTAGGCCAACCACAGGAGTTAGCTCTGGTGGGGGAGGGGACAGGAGGAGTTCGCCATTGGAGGACAAGGGGCTTTGTTAGCTACACCTGTAATGTTTGTTTTTTTTCAGGAGGATATCATCAAGCAGGATTTGTGTAATTTAATAATTTTGAAATGCAACATGCTGGCACATAGTAGGTGAACCAGAGAAAGTAAGTGGTTAGAATTAACCTTTTATACAGAAGGCTTTTTCCACAGAGGCCATGCCCTAAAGGTCAGGCTTATAGGACCAAGGCAAAGCTGACCCTCCCTTTAGGAGGCAATCAGGCCAGAATTGCTCTCTGGAGACCCTGGTCAGAAGTCTTCTGGCCAGCCGTTTACTTTTGCTGGGTGCAGGAATGTGGAAAGCAATGGAAGCTAGCCCCGGCCCTCGAGCAGCTCATGATCCAGTGTGCAACTGTCTGTGTACTCCTCTAATACCAAGCCTGGGTGTCCCATGGGAATTTCACAAAGGAAGAATACGCAACATGCTGCAGAAGAACCGCCCTCACTCTGAAGTGTAAATGAGCCCTGCTCTCCCCTTCACTTGTTCATGAGGAAGTTCCAGGCTTCTTGGGAGAGGGCTGGCCTTGTGCTTGGGCAAGGCCAGGGCAGTTTGGCAGGGAAATAGCATCAAGGGGGCAGATGTTTCAGACAGATAATAACCAGAAGGTCAGACAGGGGGTGCCAGTTCCCATAATGGGGCCCCTTAGAGAACTCTGCAGAGATGTCCACTGCCTGTGTCCCAGGATGCCATGGAGGCCACCATGGGGCAGCTCTGGCTCCAGTTTCCCTCTGGAGGCCCCTGGAGATGGACCAGTCAGGCAGGACTCAGAACAGCCAAGCTGTCACTACTCAGAGAGGATGGAGGGGAAGTCAGGGTCTAGGCAAGGACTCCACCTGAGCTCCCACAGCCCAGGAGGTATTTCTCCAAGGGGCCGCCACACTGTTTGTTTGCAGCTCAGCTAAATTGCTCCCAAGGGTGAACCTTTGTTTCGCAACATATTTTCAACCAGACTTTTTCTGCAAACAGGTCTGTGTCCGCTCACACATACACACACCCATGTCCCAAAGGCAGGCTTTGCCCTGCCCCACAGCAGCCTTGTCTTCCTCTTAGTTTTTCTGTGTGGCTTTGCTGTAGCAGAAGAATGGGGCAGCATTAGGAGGACCACTTGAGGGCAGGCCTCCTACCATCCTTTGCTCCATGCCACTCCACTCTGCTTGGTTTGCCTTGCATGTCATCAAAGGCAGTGGGGGTTTGGGGCTTGTGACAGGAAGCATATGCATGCTGCTCCTCTTAATTAGTTCTGGCACCTTGACTCTGTCCTGTGGCTGCAGACGGTGGGGGCATGGCCTGCAAGGAGGTCCTCCAGCCTTCCTCTTGGCCTTTGGTGATTCCTGGAGCCCCAGAGCTCATTTGGAGGGGGCAGGGAGGCTCCAGGTTCTTTCCAGGCCTCTTGGCTCTCAGAAGTATCGCAGGCCCCAGAAAGTCAGGAGTGAAGGAACCCCCTCATTTTATGGGAGCCACAGAGGACCAGAGAGGAGCAGGGCATGTTTTAGGACTCAATACTCTCCTCTCTCTCCCTCCACTCTCTCTCTCGCTCTCTCACTTGCTCGCTCTCTCTCTGTCTCTCTCTCTCTCTATCTCTCTCTGTCTCTCTCATACACACACACACACACACGGTCATGTTTATTTTATATCTTGTGACTAACACATACTCTCATCTTTATAGATGAAGAAGTCATGACAAATTTGGAGAATTAAGGATGGTCCGGTGAACTACTGAAGCCAAAGAAAATATTCTGGGTCCCTGCCCTGCAAAAGACATGCATTTATCCTTTGGTGCCACGGAAAAGAGCAGCAGCTCTTCCAAAGTTCTGCTACAGCCCAGCACATCTGCCTTGTGGTTGGGCCCTAAGCAAGCAGTGACACTCCTGTCTGCTTAGGTTGAGTCCCACTGCCCTACCCAGCAATCCACCCTGTCTGAAGTGAGCTTCAAAGGGCTGTGGTGGAGTGAGGTTCAAAGCCCTACCGTATGGTCTCCCATTCAGCCTTCAGAAATGAATTCTGGCCTTATTGTCGGCATGTCTGTAGGAAGGGCTCAGGAGAACACATCCTAGATCCAGCCCTGACCTGGTCTTGCTGGATAACCCTGGCGCCATGATCACCTCCTCTGGGACTCAATTTACTCCTGGGTAAATGGAAAGTTTTCTGGTCCTTTCTAGGAGATTTCCTCTGATTGAGTTCCCGCAATGCCCAGCCAGAACAAGTTACTGCAGAAATACTTTCCTGCAGGTACTTGCTGGCCTGTGCCCAACAGGAAGGACCTTGCAAGCTCTGCTGCTAAGAAGTCCTCTGCTTGGGATGAGGACAATGGGAGAGGGAGGGAATGGGGGAATTAGGGTTCCACATGAGTCCTTGATGTAAGAAGTTCAGACACCAGATTTGCTGCTATCACTAAACTTTTATTGAGCATTTCTCTGTGCCGAGCCTATGCACTACATGGAAGAAAACAGGAAAACATAGCCAAGCCAAGAGCTTTCCAAATAGAATGGAACAGAAGGGATGAGATGGTCACCATGGAACCCTGATGAGCAGGAAGGAAGCACCTATCACTGACATTACTGGGACCAGATGTAACTCACCTTCCCCCCAAAGGGGCTGTGTCTCAGTCCATTCAGACCTTCCTCTACTTCTCTACTTCCTCTACACTTCCTCTACTTCCCAGCAGATAGTATCTCCCCCAGTAGAGGTCCAACCAGAGGTGTAAAATGGCCCTGCCACTGCTAGGGGCTGCTGGGAGACAGAGGAAGGATGGCAAGGGTGGCCCAGGGAGACAAAGAAAGAAAGGAAAGGAGGAGATGGCTCTGGCAGCATGGTGGTACATGAAAAAAATCACTGGCGCATCCACAACCACAAGTTGACCAGGCAGGCCGACAGCAGCATGGTGAAGAACAGAGCTTCCCTTTGGCGAGTGGTGGCACCCTGGTCCTCCAGGGCACACAGACGCCTAGTGATCACACGCAGCTGCAGAGAGATCAAGAGCAAGCTGGTAAGCTAGGCTTTTCTGGAGAAGCCCATGTCCTACCAGTGGGGAAATGTATGAAGTTAGAATAGGAAAATGCTTTGCTGCCCTTTGGGAGGTCAAAATGCCTCTGGGGAAGAAGTAGGCACAGCAGTTGAGACCAGGGCCGGGGGTGGGCCAGGTTGCCTATGTTGACAGGTCCAGCTGTCTTGCCCCTTCTTCGGTATGCATCCTGTTGTCTGGGAAAAAAAGGCCCTTCTCAGCTGGGTAGTGGAAGTATTGAAGGACATTTCACTCCTAGGGCGGGCTGGCTTGGGGGCTGCAGCAGAACCAGAGTGAGGGCCCCAGGATGGGGTGACACTCAGGCCAGAAAAGGCTACCAGGTTAATGGCTGTCCATGCCCACACTCATGCTCATGGCTGCTGTGCTTTCTGCCCAAGAAGACTTGAACTTGGTCTGACATCCACTCTCTCTCAGACCTCTGAGAGCCACTCTTCATAGACTTCTCCATTTTCCTACATTCCCTCTTTGTCCTCCTTTTCTCTTCCCCTATTCCTTTTCCACATCTTAGGACAGAGGCAGGCTTAAGGCTTGGCAGCAAGATGGGATGCTGGAGCCATGGGAACTGATAAGAAGGGGAAAGGAGCCTGACCTCACCTTGGCTGCTACAGGGTAAGGTGACTGGAATGGCTGCACAACCTGAAGCTGATCTCATTGCTGTCGAGAGACACCCACCCCAAAACACCATGAATCTGCCTCCACCCTCCATGTGGGTCCCTACAGAGCAGACAGTCACCTGGCTTCTCATGACCTCCATCTCCAGTTCATTTAGCTCTTCCAGGCCAATCTCAGCAATTATATCTGCCTCTGGGTTGCTGGGAAATAAGAAAAGACAGTGGGTCAGAGCTGCTCGTTGTCCTAAGCCAGGCCTGGCAGGAAACACAGGAAGGGCAAGCAGCTATGGTAAGGGCTTCTCTGGACAGTGACTCTGTCAGCCTCCGGTCCTCTTCCTTGGTAAGTAGATCCTGGGGCCTGAGGGCATGGAGTCAGCTCAGCTCCAGAGTACTCAGAGGTCTAGAATGGACAAGGGGCCAGGATGCTCAGGGGCTGAGACAACAGGTCCCCAGTACTCCAAGCATAGCCAGCTGCTCACAAGTCCTTTGTGATCAGTGTGCTTACCAGCCCCTCTACCTTCCCTGTCCCACCCCCCGGTCTCTGCCCAAAGAGTTCCTCCTTTCCCCTTGCAGGGTTTCTCAGATGCTTCTTACTTCTCATAACGAAACCTGATAGCTTGTAAGTCACGAGGATACTCCTGAGGAGGGACGTCCCCATGGTCTTGTTCTCTCGAAGTTTTAGGCATCGACAGCTTGGCCCCCTAAGAAAAGGGATGGTCAGTCAAAGTAGCCTGTTCAGACCCAGATGAGTGGCTGCCCCACACTTTGCCCAGAACCAATGGAGCACCCTCCCAGGAGCCGCACGGTGTCTGATCCTCCAGAATCAGGGGCTGGCAGCTTCAGACCACTAGGAGAGCCTGGGAACCTCACAAGTTGGCCGCCTGCCACCATTCCACCCACACTATGCTCCTCAGTAGCTCCTGGCCATCTAGGCTGTGGCTGAGGAAGAGCGAAAAAAAGATAGGGCTCCCTGTCCCCTGCTGGCACCATCACATGCAGACATCAGCTAGGTCTGAGCAACCACGGAAGGAGAATGGAAAACCTTGGTTTTACAGTCAAGGAAATTGAGGCCTGGAGAGGTGACTGCATTTCTCAAGGACAAGGGAAGTTTCAGAACTCAGGAAAGAAGCCTGGCTACTGAGAAACCATAGCTTCCTTCTCCTTCTCTGGGCGAGCCCAGTCATCCTTGTGTCTTTCATTTCTATCCATCTGCTAATTACTATCTGGAGTGGATATCTCTGGCCCAGAGCTTTGGGGCCAGGGGTATGTCATGCCTTGAAGAGACTGTGTGAGCTAGAGCAGGGATCCTCAACCCCTGGGCCACAGACGGGTACTAGTCCCTGCCCTGTTAGGAACCGGGCCTCACAGCAGAAGGTGAGTGGCAGGTCAGCGAGCGAAGCTTCATCTGTGTTTGCAGCCGCTCCCCAGCGGCTCAGCTCCATCTCAAATCATCAGGCATTAGATTCTCATAGGAGCATCGGTCCCTGGTGCCAAAAAGCTTGGGGACCTTTGGCCTAGAGGAACAGAATATGACAGACCTACCTGGGTTCAAATCTCAGTTCTAGGTTGCCAGTGCAAAATGAGATATTTCACAAGATACTTGTTTAACACGCACTTAGCACATGCCAGAGACCATGTCATCTTCTAAGCCCTAACTGATATCGAGTCATTAAATCCTCATCGTGATCCTTTGAAACAGGTATAACTATCATCTCATCTTAAAAGATGAGAAAACTGAGGCAGAGAGAAGTCAAATAACTTACTCAAGTCATGCAACTGGTAAGCAGCAGAGCAGTAATTTGAACCCAGGACATTTTGTTCCAGAGGTTGTGCTCTTAACCATTACACTGTGATACCTCTCATATCTGACACTACTTCCTCCTAAGACTCCATTAAAGTGACAGTGAAGACAGCAAAATGGTATAAATACATAAGATAGGAGATAACGGGAGAGGCAACAGAGAACAAAAGAGCTCAACTATATTGTGGAATTCGGAAAGTGCCAATAATGAAGGCAAGCCAAGCAGGCCTCAGCGTGGCTCAGAAGCACATGGGGAGCTGAGAAGGGACCCTCTCGCCTGGCAGTGTCCAGAGAGGACCCGAACTTGGAGGCTGTAGGGACACTGGGGAGGTCTTGAAGACTGGAGTGAAAAACAGGACCATTAACTGAAGATGTATAAAAGAAACATTGGCCCCTCCCACACCACATGGCTGGCAGCCAGGCACTTACTGAACTAAATGAATGGGAAAGTTGGGGTGGTTGTGCTGCAAAATAGAAACCTCTTCATTCTGGCATTTAAGGGCGCCCTAACATAACAGCCAGTCAGTCACCCGCAT